TTTGCGCAAGGAAAAAAAAAAAAGCTCAACATGTTTTGGAGAGATTTCTGAGAAAACTGGTCCGACAGCAGGTAATTAGAGAGCCTGTGACTGAAGAGGGGATTACTAAGAAGGCGAGAGAGATTAAACAAGTCATCTTGTCAATTTATAAAAAGCTTTGCTCCAAACTCACAAATGGCTTCCCAAATCAGGTCCGCTATACAAGTTTAACTCTGGCGCAGATGGCTCAGCTGATAGACCTGATAACTTGCGAGGAAGTCAAGACAGGAAGTTTAACAGATCACTCAGCCTTGATTGGTTTGTCATCAGTGTTTATAATGGCTTAAATTAAGAAGCCCGTCTTCTGTTGCTCAGGACTTTACAGTTTGTCTTATACTAGGATCCTCCCCAAACTCCTAATACAGAAATGACTTTAATATGATCTATATCATGGTATTGGCAAGCGACTGTGCTTCCTTGCCTGGGCATATGAAAGGGGAACCGAGGAATTAAAAGTTTGGCCCGAGTTTAGAAGCCAGACCCATTCATTTCTGATCCCATTCCAGGAGCTCAAATACAAAGATGGAGAGGATTTGGATCTTATTCTTTCATCCTGGTCTTTCTGGCTTAGGTAATAGCTCAACAGAGAGAATCTCTTTAGAGAAGCAGAGGTAGTATGCTTTCTGCCGAATATTTTTCCTCCATCGTGTCGTGTAAGATCAGCACAAGGAACGGACCGAGTAAAGGACTATCAAAATAGCAAAGGACAGGCTGGGGGGGGGATGTGGAATTCATGGGACAATGGCTTTGAAACTGGATACTATTTTGAGGATTGTTACTGTACATTGCTCTGAACTGTCATTGATCTGGTGATAGAAAGCATTGAAGGGGAGAGGGAAAATCAGAGGCATTAGCAATTTTGACTATCTTCTTAAAAAAAAAAGAACAGATACCACATTTCCCCCATAAATGAGTGACAAAGAAACTACCATCGTGCTATTTGCATTCTGTTTGGTGATCTCTCGCTGTAAGTGAGTAAATCACCTTCCTTGATTTCCAGGGTTGGGCAAGAACAGTGGAAGAGTCTGTTAGACTGGACAGCAAGTTCAACGGGAGGCCATGTATAAATGTCCTGCCCTTATGGTATGCTGTATTGTAATGCTTTGTATTTCTGTCCCTCCTAGGCCTTTCACAGGCTAAGTGGTAACTTACTTTGTAGCAGGGAAAGATCAAAAGATCTTGCCTTAAGTTTTGAAAGGAGCACAGGGATCTAGGTAAGGTTTGTTTTTCCCAGCAGGGTAGGGTATTACCAGGCTTCGCAGTCACCTACCTTCATTCATTCAACAAAGAAATATTCCTCATCATGATCTGTGGTTGGGTGCAAGATATGTGGCTACAGGAGGGGACAGTATTAACAAGCTTCACAGTCACCTACCTTCATTCATTCAACAAAGAAATATTCCTCATCATGATCTGTGGTTGGGTGCAAGATATGTGGCTACAGGAGGGTACAGTATTACCAGGCTTCACAGTCACCTACCTTCATTCATTCAACAAAGAAATATTCCTCATCATGATCTGTGGTTGGGTGCAAGATATGTGGCTACAGGTCGTGTCAGGGTTGGATATTGCTTATACTGCATATTTTAAAGGTATCGAGGCCCCTCAGGATACTTTTGAGTTGGAATCAGCAAAGCTTCTTATCTAGAGAGATACAACCTGATCTCCCAAGTTCATTGAGCTATGGGAATAGGGGACTTTTCTTCTGTGCATATTTTCCTATTGTATGGTATGTGCAGGACTATAAAGATAAGATGAATGAAGCTGGCAGGCTCTATTATTTGCAATTATTTTCAGGATCAGAAATTACGACTTTGGATGCAATAGAAGCAGAAGCTCAGCATCCAAGATCTGCAAATGTTTTTATATTTGCAGCTGAGCAGCTTTGCTAGCAAAAAAATAGATCAACAAAATTAAAAGCTCATTTCATAAGAAAATGCAACATGGCTGGAGAATGTTTTACCAAATTAAAAAAAATAGAGCAATACAGATGAAGAATATTGTACGTTCCCAGGGGAGGAAAATGAATGACTGGGGAATATCTTACCTGGCAATGCCCAAGTACCAGCACTACAGAATAGGTGGGTGATGTGTCCCCTGGCTCCCCTTTACTAAGTTCCTTGTTACAGACCTTCCCTTTTCACATCTCTTCACTTCTGTTAGGGATTGTCAGGGAAGATCACCTCTGCTGTTTGCACCAACGAATATTATTTACTGCTTCTAGCATGGCAGGGGCCTGATGTGTTGGGCACAGTGTGCCCAACTGTGGGGACTATTTCAACTGGTTAGGATCAGTAGTTGCTCCTCGTCACAGTCCTACTTTCCATTTCCCTTAAATACTTTAGAGGGAAAACAGGGAAGGAATCTTGGAGACAGGCATTTTTTAAGATTGGAGAAGATAATACTGAGGATAGAGCAGGATAAGGAGGGATTTGGCACCGTCACCATTTCTCTTCTACCAAGACAATTAGCTGATCCTGTGCCCTGGTTTGTGGGCCACTTACTGACGGATGCCAAGAGACACTCACCAGCCATCCCAACCACATCGTACCGAGGTAAGGAAATCCAGTGACTGCTAAGAAGGAAAAACAAAAAAACCCCCAACCCCATACTAAAGTCCTTTACCAGAACCTGGGTTTTTTTCCCTGATTAAAGCTGGAAAAAAAATCTGTGCTTTGAACATAGCAAAGCAGAATCATTTCATTGAGCAGGTCCCTACATAACCATCATCTCAATCATTGTGATTGAAAGAGAGGCCACAAATTGCCACATAGCCCACTCATAATAAGAGACAGCCCCTGCCCAAAGGATGTTCTGTTCTAGCTAGGCAAGATAAGCAAGGAAAAAGAAGTTTAATATCCCCATTTTACAGATGAGAGGCCCAATCCTCTGAGACACTAGATAACCTGGGGTCATCCACGATGTCAGGTTTTGACCTGACGATGTTTAATGGGAATTCAGTGCCTAACTGTCCTCTGTACCTTTGAAAATCCCCGGCTAAATTCCCAGAGACAGAAGAAGGTTTAGGGGTATGGGGGGTAGAAGAAGGGGGTAAATCAAGTAAGCTTGGCAGACATACAAAGTTAATCAAGGTATGCCAGTATCTGATGGTAAACTGCTCACGTCCATAATTGATTGCAAGCCCTTCTCTGAACATTTGGCTGTCATTGCTGCTACTCAAGGCACTGGAGTGTGCATACTCATGAACGGGGAAAAAAACACCCAGTGCTTGTTAATGCTCCTTGCATGAGAGTTATTTGGGAGAACAGGGAATTGTATAGATCTGTCACTCAGAACAGCTAGAATTTAATTTAAGCTTTACTCCAACTATTTCCTTTCAATGGATTTTCTTCTTCATTTAACTTCTGTTGTATCATGTATGTCTATATATTTCATATATTTGTGCTACTGAGTCAAATAATAATGACGCAACCTGCAGAGGATTGCAATGGGTTTTGGCACTCTTGCAGCACTTGCACCTCTACAGATAAAATGGTATAACTGAGCGACTCTAGGGACTCCTCTAAAGCCACTGCTACATGTTACAGATATTACACAATGAATTGGCTAATTGTGCAATACATTTAGACCAGCTGCATGTGCACAGTAATCATTATGCAATAAAAATGACTACCCAGCTATAAAAAGAGACAAGTGGCTATAGACTTAGTGCTTGAAAATGTGTAACAACTCTATGGCTGGTTTCTATCCAGCCTTAATTTGAATGTGTAGCAGGGCCCTAAAGGACTTGGTCAGAGGCAGTCCCTGGATTCTTGTGGCTTTCAGTAGGAGAATATCCCTTCAGACTGACACACAACCGAAGGCCAACCTCAACATCCATTTTGCCTGAGGATGCAAAAGTCTCCAGCATAAGCAGGGTGTAAGGGCAAGGCAGTGCCAGGACACTTGAGATGCGTCTCTCCCAGACAACTTTCGGTGAAAGGACTTTCCTTGGGGGATAAAGCATCTCTCACCCGCAGGACTCGCAAGAATGAGAGATGACTTCAGCGGCAGCACAAAGTGCTCCCTTTTGCTGCACAGACGTTACAAGTACTGTGTCAGCCCTAAGAGTGTGACACAAGTCACAGGCAAGGACCTGGACTATCCCAGCTACCACGTCACTGAAACACTACCAGAACACAAACATGACGCACATCCATGTCAACTCATGGGAGACCATTCCTCAGAACCACCCCAAATGGAGGAAGAGTCTGCTGCAGGGATCTCAGCACTTCAAAACCTCACGGCAACAACAGGAGCTGGAAAAGCAGGAGCGGCAGAAACAGTGTGTTGTGGACCAAATTAAGAAGTCCAGCGCCACCTCCACCCCCCATTGGAAACACACGTTCGAGCTGCCGTAGAGTCTGTCGATCCCAGATAGGCTTCATCACTCACCTTCGGACACACAGATAAGACAATTATTTTAAAAATCACCCTCAACTGCGAGGGATTGCCGAAGAAAGAAGACCAAAACGCACAGGTCACACACATTTTAAGCTCGCCTTCAAAGACTGGGTTATAGAGTTGTGTGCAGGTTTTGCTCTCCAATTTCCTGACCACCTCTCAAAAATAAATAAGGAGCAAGCCCACAAGAAAGGAAAGTGTGTACAGTTATGCGGAGGCAATTTGGAAGTGTCTTCCCACTCTTGGATCCTAACCCGCAGCAAAATGCACTCCAGGAGGAGAGCTGAGGAGCGCTTAATTAGAGCAAGAATGTATAACCGCTCTCTCAAAACGGGCATCTGATCTACTCTTGGCACTGTCAGAGAAATGCTGTGGAAAATTGAGCTCCACGCAGCAAATCTCTGCGGCAAACACATTACACTGCCAGGCAACAGAAGTTGCCATAGGCATCTTCTCTACGAGAAAAAGCTCAGGCACAACCAGCAGAAACAGATACAGTTGTAGTCACATTAAAGTGTGCAATATCCCTGAGAAAAATGACTACATACAAACATTACCTTCATATGCGTTTGATCTGCTTCATGCATGGAGCGGTCATAGTTGCTGACATTAGTGACACAAATAAAATTGGACTGCATTTCACTCCTACAGAGCGAGACCAACAGAAAACACTGGCGCTCACGACAAGGCCACGTTTACAGTCCCTTTTCCGAAGAGACTTGCGCTCGACACATCTTTTCGTGATGTTTAAAAATCGAGACAGGCACAAAAATGAGGCCAACTTTCTAACAATTTAGAACGCAAAGAAAACAGAAAGAAAAAAAATCCGTTAGAGACCAGACGTATGGGCATTTGTCGAATGGAGTAAAAAATATTAAAAGCAAGGGCGGAGAGGCAGAATGCGTTCTTACAACCTTGGCAATGAAGACAAGCAATTAGTACTGCTGTTGGTTAAATTTAGCACGTGTACCACGTCCAGGCATAGCAGCCCCTAGTGTGGGCTGACTTGCACCATGTTGAAGTCCAGGTCATTTGACATGCAAACTCAAAATGAATGATCTCATGATAATATCATTAGCAGGAAAAATTTGCTTTAATTGCCCTAAAGTTCTAAAAAAAAGGCACAAACATTATGAATCAGCTTTAAAAGCAAACAGAAGGTGCCATCAAAAGCCCCAGAGCTCGAATAACTCACATCACTTCTAGACGAGCCGTTCTGGAATCGTTTCCTCCAAATGAAATGACCTCGCACGTGTAGTCGCCGATGTCTCCTGACCACGTCTGGCTAATGAGGAGGCTTCCATCTTCCTCTACTGTAATTCGGGAACTGCTAGATGGATTTATTGCCACACTATCCTTCTTCCACACGTGCCTGGGTGTCATAAAGTTTCAAAATGTTAATAAATATCAATATAACAAATATAAATACGTTGCGAATGATTTTGACTGCATCGGTGGGTAAGGTCATATAGCAACACAGTGCTAAATTGATAGACCACTGCAGTTACCCCAAGATGAGTAAAACTTTTAACTCTTCCAAGCCTTGATCTTAGACCAGTGATCAGAAAGAAAATGCCTTTCTGCAGTACTGTGGTGCAACGAATTTCACAGCTAACATCTGCTCTAGCCGCATCTAGCGGGGTTTTATCTTAGGCTGGTTCATTTAATTGTCTCTGTTTAATGCTTCTGGTGGGGAACTTGGGAGCCAAAACTCAAGCTTTGTCAAACCTTATCCCTTTGCCTATGAAAGGTACTATTTCAGGACTCGGTGTCAAACACGTAAGCTTAAAACTGGGATACTTTAAGCTGTAAACTGAGATACTGTGTTTGGGGGAGGGGTCGCTTTACAGGTTATTTTTATATTCTGTTAGCTCTCTCTTATTTTGTTTCTCCTGTTTGGCTTTCTTATTCACTTCTTTTATAAGTTATTTTTCTCTGCTTTGTAAAATGCCCTGAGCCTTTAGCAGAAAGGGTAGCATAAAATAAAAAAATAAAAAAAATCCAATCTCTTACAGACATAGATGCAAGTAAAACTAAGTGACAGAAATGTTTGTCAAGACTGAATGCAGAAAGGTCCATGGAAAGGCATAGCCATATTAATTATTTTCCCAAGTTGTGGAACAATATTTCAGGATCACCCAACCCTGAAGTTTACATTATTTGTTTTTAGGGGCCTAATCCTTGAACGAGGCCAAAAATCCCCAAGAATAATTCAGAATGTGTCAAGAAAGCCATCCTTTGCCCACCATCAGACTTACCAATGCCCTGAAAAGCCACCACCTTCTCAGGGTGACAGCTATCTAAATAATTCCTCCTTTTTTCCAGTCTCCAGACTCTACTTCTACTCCAGATTCTACTGTACTAAAAAAAGGGAAGAAATGTAGCTCGAGACCCCTTTGTTGGGTGTAGGACATTGGAGGATCACATTTACATTGTACTGATCCTTCCTGAACAGACTGCATCAGGAATATCTCCAAACTGCTGTCACCCTGGCAGAAAATATATCTGCACTCACAAATACAAGTGACCAAGTGTTTGTACTTCACAGTTTTGTATAATTTCTCCTTTGTGCATGTCTGTGTTCTGTCTCCAAAGTTCCCTTCTAATATTTTCCAAGCCAATACCCAGACAGATAAGGCAATGCTTTTCTTTCATTCAAGCCTCCTTTAAACTGTGCACCGGTTAATACTATAATGTGGTTGAACGCGATAGGGTTCCTTTAAATCTTGTGCGCAGATGTTATTACTTTAGCATCAAGTTGTTCTTTTCTTTCCACAGCCAGAACAGAATTTATCCCTCGGTTACTGAAGTGTTTCAGAGTGTGCAGGCATCCTCTCCCATGGATTTGCAGAAGCCCCAACGTAAACACGTCTGAAATTCTATTCGATCTCTTTGGATTTTTACTCTCATTAAGTATCAGCTTCTGACAAGTCGGTTTTATTGATAGTGTATTAACCTTGACAGTAAAATCATGGAAGGCTGTATTGAAGTCATGAAGTGGAACGTAGCTCATTGTAAATAATACATAAGGCTGAAGTGGAAGATGGGTTTTATGTGATTAATGATGTAGTCTATAGCCTTACGAGGCAGTAATCAGGGGTCTGGTGCTGAAATCTGGGGTCCTCAAACTTCTCACCTAATGACATTCTGCTAGTTTGTAAAATTAACTTGAGATAAACGGCACAAACGATAAATGACACCACGCGCACCTGATTGAAATTCTAGGGTCATGAGTTGCTTCACACTGCAGAGTGGCTGTGGTTCCCTTGATAACGGTGCTGTCCTCGGGAGGGTGAACAATAAAGGTGCGATCTGAAAAGGAACACAGGCCATCAAGCAGGTAAAATTACAGACTTTCAACATGACTTGGGCATTCACTCCTGGACAGCATGAAACCGGTCATTTATCATTCAGGGCAAGACGCTTTCACTTTGGTAATGGGAGTGAGCAAGTCTGAAGCTCTCTGCATGGCACATGGTGCAGTGCCTACTGATTAAGTAAAAAAGGCAGAACAGTATTCCTTATATCTTTCCCAGAGTTGCCCCCACCCAACCCCTCCTCACTGAATCTAATTCAAGTGTGTGATGTAGAGAGGTTTAAGAAGCAGCAAAGGGAACCTCTAAGAGCAGATGTTAGTTATTTGATCTGCGGCAAGGCTTTGAATACGAAGAATACTAAAGGGGTACTCAATATTATTCATTGCTGTCTTTGCAGCACCTGGTTATTGGTAACCTCAAAGTCATAAAGCACTAAGTACAACTATGGTGCTCTCCCCTAATTAAGAAGCTACTTTATTCAGGAATCCCGTCATGCGGTTTGAGGGAAAGGGAAAAAAAATACTCTAAAAAGTTTGTGGAAAAAGCATAGGGTGCTATTTTCTCCTTCATCTCGTCAAAACCATGCAAGGAGAATGAAAGAGGTGTTGCTTCAGGAGTGTGAGTTTTCCACATAGGGAGGAGATGTTTACCCACTTGTTGCAAAAATATCTTGATTCAAGTACCTTCTGGGACCCAAAACACAGTAATTGCCTGAAACTATAGCAACCAAATCAAATGTGAAAGATCTCTATTATATTGAGAATGGAGGCAGCGGCATCAGATAGTATCAGCCAAACCAGGTAGCCAAGCAGCGTGAGTGTGGAAGAAGGGTGGATAATGGTAATCAGTCCCAAACCCCTACAGAAATGATAACCTATAACAACTGGGATAAATCTTATATGCACAAGAAGAAACTGTCAACCGACTGAGATGAGAACATGAAGAGACAGAACTATTAGACATAAAACATAATGCTAACTAGACAGCATTATTTCTGCAGTGCCTCCGCATGCTCGTTAGCTCTACCACGTTCTCCTTGCTCCGCGAGCAGCGTACGGACGGTAATACTAAAAAAATTGCAAGAGGGCAAAATGAATCAAAGGATTTATAATGGAGGCCCTCTGTGCTCCGTTCACACATCCGGATACCAACTGGCTTACGACACACTAAAAATATGTATATGGTGTGTGTCAGAAAGATATAAATACGAGACCCGTATGACAACTGTATCTTACATTTACTGCCAGTATATTCCACGAGCACCCTCAAGATCGTACGGTAGAAGGTTTCTGGTGTAACTTTACTCTTTGAGAGATGAATAGATGTCAAATGTACACCATGCACCAGCAGGATAATCAGTCCCTAGGCTGCACTTCAAAGGCAGGAGAGGAAAGAGGGCCATATACTTTTTGTAAAAGGATTTTTATTCTCAGCTCAGTAATATTTTTGTTCTCCTGTTAACTGTGGCAACATATTAACCCTTCCCTCCTTAGCATCTAGCTTGAAGTACCCGCATTGGACTTGATCTCATCTCCTCTGCACAGTATCAAGTCACTCAAGTGAAGTCAATGCGCCAGATTTTCCTCATAAAGGATTCAGTGCAAAAAAGTGTTGCATGGTGAAACACAAGCCTGTTCCAGGGCCAGGCCCATCTGAGTCGAAAGATCCAGCAGCTGAAGCATGATGTATTTTGCACTGGCTGGAGGATCACTGTACCAGCAAGGGACCCCCAAGGTGCCAAGGAGCATTTTAGCCCGGCCCTTTTTTCAGCGGCCATGTCCTGTGGCAGCAGCTGGATCTGGCAGCTGCAGAGCTGCTCAACGCTATCTAAGCGTTAGGACCAGGGATGTTACACCAGCATAAAAGCTGAGTAAGTGAAATCACAATCAGACTTGCTCTAATTTATTATTTCATTTCAGTTTCTCTCAGACAAGCATCCTGGATGCTTCTGTCCAAATATAGAAAATGTATATGCATCTCTTTGCAAAAAAGAATAATTTTGATAGATTCCTTTAAATAGATGCATTATTCCTATTCAATTATACCCTTTTTTTCCTATTAGCTAGAAATGCATAATTGATTACGAAAATTTCCCAAGAACACACCAAAAAACTGATTAATATTTGATTAAAGCTAAATTTAAAACAAAGCCTTATCCTTACTCCAGACAGTCAGCGTTGCAAAAGCACTCAGGGCTCCCTCTGAGTTGACTGCATAGCAAGTATAGTTGCCAGCATCCTGAAGGAAGACAGGAGTAATCTGCAGCCCACCAGATTCGAGGAGAATGAACCTGGGAATCTGCACCGAGCCACTGGCTAAGATCTGGTTCCCTGAAACACAGGAGGAGGAGGAGGGAACAGCAGGACTCTTGTTATTTGCACTGCATGAATAAAACGATACGGTTCTGATTCTTCCAAAAGACAATTACAGATGAAGGAACAAAGTCCCACACACAATGCACATGCATATCCACAGCCATCTCTTCTTTCACCGAGCCAGCGAAATCAAGATATGTAAGCTGAATGGATCCCCAGAAACTCATTGCCGGAGCGGACAATAGAGCAGAAATTCCTGCGATTTCACAGTAGAATAATAAGTGGTTACCTCTTTTCCACGAGATGGCAGGTTTTGGAGCCCCTGAAACCTCACAGGTTAATACTGCAGTCATCCCTTCTGTAACAGTGGTATCTATTGGTGGCCGGATAAATGTTGGTTTAATATCTGGGATAAAACAATTGAAAAATTCAATGGACCAGCTATCCGAAAGATCCCTTAACTACTATCCTAGAGTGTTTTACATCCACTTTTATAGAGCTGATTGTGGGGAAGGACATGACAATAATAAATGAAAACCTTTCAGCAGTGACTGTAACCTTTCATTATTCATCTCCTAGGAATTATCTCACTCAGTTTATTACCTAAATGGAAAATAAAATCTATCAGTGCTTGTACAAGTACAAGCAAGGCAGCTTATAGATAAAGGAGCAAAGGTGTAAAACGAGCGTGCTGGGGGAAGCAGAGACATCTAGATAAACAAAACTATTTGCTTTCATCTTCATAACACGGAGTCCTTTAAGATGAAAAGCAACTTGAGAAAGACATTAACTTTCAAGCCTAAATGTCAGCCAGAAGAACTTAGAACCTGGTTCTCATCCAAGACATCTTCCAAGTTTCTTTCTTTCTTATTTTCCCCCAGTTGCATTTTATTACATTTTTTACTGCAGCTTCCTGGACAGATATTGAACTGGTGCAGATCTGTTTTCTGAAGCTCAGTCACAACACTGGTCAAATCTGTAAACTGCCCTTGAGCTAAAATCAGCACAATGAAGATGTGACAACACGGCTAACTCCACCTGGAGTCCGTCAGCGAGTCAGGCAAAGCATTAGGGACACCCCTGGTAGTAACAACTTTAAAAGAATTACTATTGGCAACCGTGGATTTTTTTCCCCGTGGAACAAAACATTATTCTCCAATTACAACATTTAACCCATGGGGGGTTTTTAATATAGAAAAGAATATTTATTTAACTTGGAACATTTTTGGGGTGTGCTGGGCCTTTTCCTAGGAAAATCTACCTAAAATATCACCCTTCACAAAAATAAAAAAAAAGAGTCATGTGAATTGACAAGAGCATTATAATAGTAAAACTAAACTGTACAAGTAAAAGGAAGACAGGGAGAATTATTTCTTGGTTGACCTTTTCCTTTTTGCCCTCAGCTTGTCCTTTTTTTAATGTAGCAATAAAAGACTGATCAAAGGCCTGCTGCTAAGAACAGTCTTCCGTAGTCTTCAGTCGGATTTTGCTTTGCTAGGCTAGATCCCGCTGGCAACAGAAATCCAGGTGCTATCATGTAATAAATCGGAATCAACCCATTTTATCTACCGAGTGGTAGAGAACTGCTTACACGTGATTGAGGCCTTTCAGTCAATACGGGAACCCAGGTTTCATGAACTATGCTGTAGTTCTTTACTTACTGGTTACATCTAGGTAGGTGTGTGTCTGTATTTCCCCAGCTTCATTGCTAGCAAAACACTGAAAGATCCCAGCGTCATCGGTACGCGCTCCCTGGATCTGCAGACCACCATTGTGGAGTACTTTGTAACGAGGATTTTGCAACTTGTTGATAGGAATAGAGTCCTTATACCAGACCAGAGTGGGACTAGGAACCCCTGGACATTGAGCAGAAACAGATCTCTATTATTCACTGCACAACTGTGCAAAAGTCTGTACAATAAAAGTACACAGCAATGTTATACTCGCACAGATGCACACAGGGTTCAGTTCTCCATATCCTATTCTCCCCCTCCCATTATAAATAGTTTTTATAATAAAACACTGTTTGACAACCGGTGGATATAGGTAAATTGTGTTACCAATGGCAGTAATATATCGTAGGATGCATGATGGCAAGGACAGCAAATAACGAGAGAGAAAACGTTGCAATAACATGTTATCAAATCCCTTTCTCCACCGTAATCGTATTTCATATCACGGTGGGAATATGACTTACATGAACATTTCAGATTAAAATACAAAATTATGCAAACTAAGCAACAGCAATTCTTTTAGTGCCGTTTTATCCTGAATAAGATTCTCCTAAACTGCTGGAGTGAAGATGTCAACGTTAAAAGAACAATGGGAAAGTACACATTAGCAAGGGAAAAAATGGAGCAACCCTGACAGGTATTTTAATTCAAAATTTAAAAATCTTTTTTTGTGATAACTGGCAGTTTACCTTTAAGAGGCAGTGTGCAAACAGCATGGTGTGTACACTGGGATGCTTGCAAATTGTCATTCATTTTGACTCATTTTCGGCTTTACTTGCGCCTTAATACAAACAAAAAAATGCAAATAGAAACCAATTCTACCTTCAACTTATCTCCCTATGTTACTTGTTACTGCTTTTCTGCACGGGCATTTTATATCAATACTGCTACAGATTTCCAGTCACGCCTCAGCTCTGCTTTGCACCAGACGGCTTGCATGAAGTGGCTGTAAGCTCGGCAATTCCAGTCAACGGAGGCTTTTGCCTTCCTTGGGGAGTCCTTCGATGGTGTAGAGCACTCATACAGAGGCTCCTATGCCAGTCTCCATCGGAACCCTACGTTCTTCTTATATTCCAGCAATCCCTGGCTCTTTTTTAACAGCCGCTATGGGCCACAGGCAGCATAGCCTGAAGTACAGCAATTATAAGGTTGTTCTATTTTATGATGCAGCTGGATGATGGGTGTAATGCTGGGTTTAATGAGCTTGGCCCATCCCACACTTCTACCCCAAGCTTTGCAGAATACGTAAGCATGGATGGAAAACTGCCCAGAATCTGAACTACCGACTGTTTCTAAAGTCCGTGTCTGCCACCTGTCTTCTTTAGGTACCCCTAACACACTCATCACCGTAAAATCTAGGCAACCAAAGTAGTCACTGACAACCAGGCCCAAGATGACTTGAGGCGGTCTTCTACCACCTCCAGCTCTATAAAGCAAGAGCCTATTCAGGAAGTATGGCTCTTAAAATCTCTAGGTCTCAAATTCCTCAGCAATAAACCAGGAATAATAACTAAATAAGTTACTAACATCTAGGGCTGTGCGAAGCTTTGGTCCCTGATTCGACTCAGTGGAGATATGGCCCCATTTGGTGGCCAAATCTCCGAATCTGAATCGAATCAGGAGACCCTTTAACCTCTCCGAATCGAATCAGAAGCCTCTGAATCAATTTGGAGTGATTCGGAAAGGTTTGGAGATTCGCCCATAGACACAGCTTTAAATGATTATTCTACATACCTGAAGGTACCAGGCGGCTCATGAATGGTGCGATGGTGGGGCAGATGGGGTGTCGCAAAGGACTGCGGGCACTCCCCAGCATGCTTGGCAGCGGTCCTGGAAGTGGACCAGAAATACTTCTGGTCCATTTCCGGGTCTGCTGGGGGTCCCCTGCACTGCCCTGGCTCGGTGACTGGTGCCTCCTGGGTCTGGGGGGGAGGAGCACCCGGGGTCCCCCTACAGCTGATCGCCAAGCCGGAGGGTGTGCGGGTGTCCCCCAGTGCGTTCCCTGGCTGACCCAGAAGTACTTCTGGTCCACTTCCGGGTCTGCTGCCAAGCATGCTGGGGAGTGCCCGCAGTCCTGCAGGACGCCCCATCTGCCCCACCATCGCAGCATTCACGAGCCGCACCTGGTACCTCGAGGTATACAGCAAAAACATTTAAAGCTGTGTCTATGGCTGAATCGCTGATTCACCGAATCAGCATCGAATCTTCACATTCGGCTTTGGCCGAATCGAATCAGGACAGTGATCCAAATCAATGAATGGAATCATTGTCGCCTGAACTGGGCCGAATATGAATTGTATACGGCCTGTTTTGCACACTAACTTCATAGGGAATCTGTATGGCTCAGTTCATTAATGAATTAAATTCACCCAAATGATGAAGACCTTTGCATCATACAAGAACTCAGGGTGAGGACTAGGTAGAATCTAAGTAATGCAGAGTGAGCCCATGCGGACACTGAATTTCACTTTCATGTAAGCAGTGCTTGGACATTCTCTAACAGACGGTACAAAGAAAGGCATAGTCACATTATCATTATTATTTTTAAACTCCTGATGTGATTTATGAATAATAACACATATCCTTTCGTGTCTCCTGTCAATGTATTCATCCTCAGAAGCTACTGTTAACCCTAGACAGAATATAAAAAGAAAACCGAGGCATGGTGTAAAAAAAGAAGAGCCGATTCATGGGCAACTGGTACCTCCCAAGTCTGGGAGGGCATCAGATTGCCGATGGGGGGGCCGAGCGCAGAACCACCAGCGATGAAACCCGCAGTGCACTTCCAGTTTCGCAGCTGGTGCTTCCAGGGGGTACATGGCCAATCTCAGGGGGGTACGTGCACCCGGGTGCATCCCCTATGTGTCGTGAATGAGCTGATTCATCCTAATATTATTTTTTACAAGCATATTATTTACCAAAATGATCTCTGATGCTTTTGCTCTGTTGGTAAAATAAGCATTTTCAGAATCAAGAAGATAATCATCTCAGAAACAAACCCACTGTACACAGTGCCTGTTGTCATCTAATGCACAAGAAATGCAGTATGCCACCATGCAATAAACACAATTTGAATTTCATACATCAGCCCATATACAGATTTAGTGGAAATTCCAATGTTCAGAATTCTCAATGCGAGTGTTTTTCATCTCTTGAAAATCCCCCAGGGCAAATACAAATTATCACTGAGTAATGAAGAAACAGATGATGCAAAATAGAACAGATCTGATACAGAGGCGACTGGAAATTATTTCAAGTTTAAATAATAGCAATTCCATTGTCCTATACATTGAGTTTTATTGGCACCCAGGAAATAATGACATTCAGCACTCGGTATTTTCCGCCAAACCTATAAGATTTGATGTCATTCCTCAAAACTTTTCTCTCTAACAATATTAGCAAAAATCCCAAACCTATAATCATTGTGAGATACACTTTTCTATCACCAACTCAGCTGACAAACTGAATATTACCATCTCTATTTTCTTATATTTCAGCTATGGATACCTTCTGCACTTCCAAGTTATTCTGAATAATGTGATCTTATCTAAGCATTTTGGAGCCTGCTCGTTGCATACATTTGGACTGTAGTGATCTCCCCAGAAAGACTTACCTTTAGAGTTGAAAGTAGGAAAAGAAAAAAGAAAAGAAAATGCAAGTAGGAAACAAAGCTTCTGTTTCTTCCTCAAGAAAAACTAACAAGAATGAGGAAACATTTAATAGGGGTTAATAGTCCTACCTTGTCATCTGAGGGGTACAGTGTGGTATAAAGATTAATAATCAGATAACCTGACTTGTGGGCACCTTTAAAAGTGATACACATTTTGCAAAGCACTCTACCAAGATTGGCAAATTTACCTAATGGGAAAAAGGAAATGGGAAGCTAGGAAACTTGAGTGTTATTCCTGCCTCTGCTACTTGATGCAGACCGTACGTAAATAATTTAAGCAAGTTGTGGCTCAGTTTTTCCCATCTGCAAAATGAGGATAATAATCTTTAACTATTTCACAACAGTGCTGGGGTCTTTGCTCATCTTTGCCAGAGTCCCAATAACTGTGGAAGTTATTTTGGTTTTTATAGCACCTACAATCTCCCAGTAGGTTACTGGGGTGTCCTTCTACTTGTCTACACTGGTAGAACTGAAGTCCAATTAACTGCATTCCCTACATACCACTAGCTCCAACCTTTCTATAAGCAAATAATAGAATGCATTTAAAAATGCATTGAAAATGCAGGCAGGATCAGTGGTTTCTGGAGACATACAGAGAAACAGGGTTACAGAGCGGTTGGACACACTGAAACTCCATTTATAGGAAACTAAAAAGCTAGCCTGTGCAAGTCACAATTTTATTTCTAGTTAATCTCTGCTTATACTGTGAAATTAATCTGTCTCTCACACACTCACGCTGCACAAAGCCAGAGCAAATGGGCTTTGTGTGGAAAGCTCCACGGGAGCTTGGGGAAAATAAAATCCACCTTCCCATTTGTGGCCAAGGCCTAGGGCAGCTCCGCAGCACCTCTAGCCTTATTATTCTGGGCCTCGAGTTGGAAGAGGGCAGCGAGCTGCAGGCAGCCTGTCTTTAAGGATCTGTGGTTGCTAAATCTATGTACTCATGGATCGATGAAGCCCCCAACCACTCCTTCAGTCCTATTCCCTGCTCCATGGTTGATCATACTGAGCTAACATTTGGCATGAGGCCCTTTGCAAGACTGATATGCAGCTGACTAGTGCCCAGGGAGAAGAACAGCACTGGGAAGAGCTTCTGTGCCCTCCTCATTCATCAGTTATCTGAATCCATCTTAAAGACGGTCAGTGGACATAAAGGATTTTGCTCCAAGAGGATTCTCATACTTAGGAATAGCCCAGGAGTCCCCAGGGAGCTGGTTGGCATTTGTCTGGAAGGAGGGGGCAGAAAGCACCCACATGATCTCTCCAGGACATGCTGTTTCCTTTAACATAAGAAAAGCAGTTGGGTCTTAGGTAGAAGAAAAGCATTTGGGACAGGGAGAGAGTTCAGAGACTGGAAAATGAGCGATTTGCTGTCATGCATTTGACGGTGCTCAGGAAAAACACGATTTTAGCCGGTTTCACAAATGGCATGAGTTGGGTTTTTTGTATGTTTTTCTTTTTAAACATAAAACTACTGATGTGAGAGTCTTGTTGGAGCCACAGAAAATCCCAGTATGTTTCAAATAATATGTATTGAAAGCATTTGACATCCCCCCCATGCAGCTGAATGGGGAATGGAAACAATAAATACATGCTACATGAATTTGTGTTGTAATGACAGCTGATGTCAGAAGAGGGGCCGTTTGAAAGAGCAGGTCATGAGTTACAGTTTTCTCACCAAGCTCATGTTGCATTTTTTTTTTTTTTAAATTGCTGCTTTTCATTAATATAGCACCTTCCATCTGCGGGCAATCTGGATATGCCCTTTTATCCTGCTCTATGGATAAGGAGGCACCCAGAGCTTTAACGTCTTGCTCAAGTTGCAAGACAATTCAGTGGCGGAGTCAAACCTAATAGTCAGGTTCTTGCAGCTTCCTGCTTTAATCACTAGATTATGATGTCTCCTTTTTTTTTTTTTAATTAGCGTGCCAAAATAGCACGCGTTTCTATGGAATTATGTCTTTAAAAAAACCCAAAACACATTTGAAAAGAAATGATAAACATTTGGAAGGTCTTTATGGCATGAAAACACCGTCCAATTAAAAACAGAATGAAAGCGTGCTCTAGCTCAAGTGTAACTACACTTAAATGGTACCACAACTGACATCTCTACTCAGAGTAAAAGCTCCATCATTTTCAGAAACGGAGGTTTAACTATTGGAATTATTGATTGTTTCTCTGCGTCCCAAGTTATGGGTCCCAAAGTCACTGTTTTCTTTCAATTAATTTGCTGGCTCAAGACATGAAACCCTTTTAGCCAACTACATTTGTACAAAGCATCCTTTAAAGCAAGGGTCATGAAGAAAAGCAGCGGGGACTGTTTTGCTCGGCTGACGAGCAGCATTAACACGGCCGAGATCTGATACCAAAAATCCACTCACTTCTCCCGTTGTACAAACCCAAGAGCTGCCCAATTATCTAAAGGGAAAGGGGTATAACTTCAGCTCTAGTAAACTGTCGGAGTTTCTTGGAAGTCACCAGTTACGATAATTTATAACAGCCAAGTATCTGCACCAAAACAGCAGAGACTGATATTGTACACTACATTCAACAGGACATGCATCTGTTTTTACCAAGCCGGCATTGCCTTCATACTCACTCACCCATTGCCTGGCACAGGATGTCCACTGTTTTCTCCACCTCAGCCAAAATCCGACTCTCGGGCTCAGCAGTAAAATAGGGCGGCTCTTTAGAACAGGGGGGAAAGAAAACACAACAACAAAATGTAAAGACGGGTTGATTTAAAGGAGTTAATATAGGTTCCTCAGCAATGCCGTATTTAATTCAGAGTACTACAAGCCGCCTAGTTTGTCTCTTGTTGGGGATTTTCTTCCTTGCTTTTTTAGCAAAAGCGTCGTGAAAAAACCAACAACGCTTATTCGCTATGATCAATAGGAATTTCAACGAGAGCTGAGCCGATTTCAATTTAAATTTAGGATTTCACACTGCAAATGAATACTCAGAGTAGGGGCTACTTTTCATTTTATGGGCCTGAATCGTGGAATGTTTTAATTCTCGGTTTCGAAGGGCCATCCCCAGGGGTTCATAAAGGTTTATATTTACAGCACAGTATTTTATAGGATAGTTTGCTTCAGTATCTAAACTAAATACCACTTCATGAAGCCATGAAGCACATCAAATAAAGTGCCACTGCATGTCACAGAGCTATATCAGAGGACAAGTGCAGCATATTAACAAAAAAAAGAAACAGCTTTATTCCTCGAAAGCCAACAGATTTAATGTTTTAATTGAACTTATAGTAATAACCAATGAAACCAACAGTTCATCATTAGGACTAAACAAAAGATATTAGAGGTGTTTATTAAACAAAGATTAGACTTTAGGGATTGTAGGGCATACTCTCCTGGTACTATTTAATCTTCACAGGATAAAAAAATCAGGAGTACCTTGTCAAGGGTCCACAGGCATTAAGGCTGCAGTGATTATCATGGTAACTAAAAACTGTCATACTCAGTCTATTCAGTACCATTATCATGTGAGTACTGTTTTAGAAGCATCTTATTTGATTATAGCTACAATTCTATTGTAGCAGAACTACGCACAAGAAGTCCCTATGCAGACTGCTTCTGAAAAAAACGGAGAACGGAAAAGGTGATGTGATCTGTTTGTACGATCAAGTCCGTGTATTTTTCTTCTGAAGTGCACCAGCACATTGGAGAAAAAAAGGTATAGTAGGTTACTATAGCCGGCGTCACTTTAGTTTGCTTATTTCTCAAACCCATTCTCCCAACATATAAAGAAGTCCATGGCACAGATATGTGCACTAGGCCTGTGGTAAGTGGCTAGCATTCACTTCGGATTTGGCTGATTCGGGGGACAGTGATTCGATTCGGTAATTTGAATCACTGTCCTGAATCAATTTGACCGAATCGCCGAATCAGCCAGGCCTATCCCTGCCCGCTCTCCCAGCTTGGCAATGGCTGCTCTGCCCGCCCTAGTTCCCGGCACTTGGAAGAAAAAAACAGCTCTGACTCAGTGGGTGTTGCCAGGTGGGGGGCGATCCCCACTGCCCCACACTGCATGGGGGGGCTCTTTAATGAGCCCCCGACCCCCCCCC